TTTTTTTTTTTTTTTTGTATTCTTGCTTGTTCGCAAATTGGAGTTTTTAATAAAAAGCCACTTTTCTTCTAACTGTCAACAATAAAAATATGTTAAATTAAAGTGTGCTTTCAAATGAATAGTAGGACATAATGCTTTAAATAGTGGAAGTGAAGAACCATAAGACTAAAAACTATAATACAGCTGAATTGTACTTTATTTGTGGACTATTTGGCCTTAGGGAAGAATGTTAGAGAGACACAGGGAAAAATTTAATATTGGGAAGCCTTGGAAAGCATTTGAAATTTAAATTAAAACTGTCATTGATAAATCATACAAGCAAACTTCAGTGATCCCCAGTGCTGTAAGTGTGTGTGTGGGCACGTTTGCTTATAGGTTGACTTTTTAGGCCCTGTGAAAATAAAATGGACACCTATCCTCTGATCAGCTGTTGGTAACAGCATCCAGCTGCTCAGATATCTCCAAACTCCCATATTTGCCTCTTATACTTGTGAATAAGCATGCATGCATCTTTACTCGTGAGATAGATGTCATGAATCTGGAGTAGAAAAGGTGCTGTTTTTAAAAAGGATGATAAACAAAAGTTTTGAAGTACTGAACACCAAATCCCAATTGCATGTTGTTTAATGAGAGAAAAGGAAAGGAATAGACTACCCATGAATTTGGGAAAGCAATCACGTAAGATACAACTGCTTAATTTGATCGCCATCTAGTGGCTGAAAAATAAGTTTTGAGTTAAGCAACTTTTTGTTCCTTATTCAAAGGAAAGGTTATCTGAATAATTAGCTCAAAACCTACAACATACCAAAGCAAAAATTGTGTGATCAACACCTTAAGAACTAATCTTTGTGCCTTCAATTAGTAAAAGTGACTAAGGTCACAGTCAATTAGTCCTTATCCACGACAACTAAGAGTCTGTTCATTAATGCAACACACAAAGGCCCTGAGATGTTCCCTGAGATCAGTTTTTGCAAAGATTGTTCTCCCTGTAGTCACGACAGAGCCAAAATCCAATATCATATGTAATCATTCTAAGCTAATGTACAAATGAATTGTCATAGTAGTTGAGGAGCAGTGGTGTGGCGTTCCTGGGGGGGGGGGGTTCTTCGGGTTGAGCTTGAGGCCCTGCCCCTTTATTCTCCAACGCTGAAGTGCCCCCTTTCGGCCCACGATTTCTCCCATGCTACTGTTGAGGAGGTTTGCCTACTTTGCATTTATTTTATCTTACAGTGCTATAAAAACTTGTTTGATTACTGCATCCGCCCTAAAAGATGGTAATTTTGTCTTGCAAAAAAAGGACTTAAAGCAAAACAAAACTCCTTGGTATTGCAGATCAAACTAACTACACGATGGAAACTGTTTTTCTGATTGCCAAAGTGATAAAACAACACAATTCCAGCGTAAATTGTTTTTCTCACTAAATTCTCCTTTTCTCACTTCTTAGATAAGAAACAAAGACACATGCAATGCTGTACTAAGTTACATCAGCGTTTAAGAAGTTACTTTGCTCACATCTTACATCATACATGTTTGGCACAGCCCCCCAGCTCAGCCCATACCTCAATGACTGCTTTGTGCAGATTTTCTGAGGTTCCATGAACATATATGAATATATCCTTAAACATTTTTAAACATAACCAAAGTTTGAGTGTTGTGTCACTGTTGCAAGTAAGACATCTGACACATGCACGACTGAAGTCTTGGGGGAACTGAGATGTTTAAAGAGACTCTCTGGTAAACAACAGATTGCCATTTGCAGCAGCACCACATGTTTGGACAACACATTCCACTCACAGGTGGTCAATGCACAAAACACATGCTTTTGCGCTTATAAGACATTTAGAAATGTACCTAATAAAAATCTGAACTTTTTAGAGCAATTTGAGAGCCTTTATATCTTTAATGTATTTTATGGTGCTCATTTGGTGCATGGATGACTTTGAGTCATTTACACAAAGATAGATAGATAGATAGATAGATAGATAGATAGATAGATGGGTGGATGGATGGATGGATGGATGGGTGGGTGGGTGGATGTAAGGAAAGAAAGAAAGAAAGAAAGAAAGAAAGAAAGAAAGAAAGAAAGAAAGAAAGAAAGAAAGAAAGAAAGAAAGAAAGAAAGAAAGAAAGAAAGAAAGAAAGAAAGAAAGAAAGAAAGAAAGAAAGAAAGAAAGAAAGAAAGAAAGAAAGAAAGAAAGAAAGAAAGAAAGAAAGAAAGAAAGAAAGAAAGAAAGAAAGAAAGAAAGAAAGAAAGAAAGAAAGAAAGAAAGAAAGCTTACTTGTGTTTCATTACTGCAGGGGACAGAAGAAAAAATTGCAAAAAAAAAAGTGAATATACAAAAGGGCACTGACAGACTTAACAAAACAAAACAAAAAAGATGTACAAAAGAATGATCACATTATAAATTTCCGAAAAATACTATATTAAGTTTAGTAAAATTATAAAAGTTACTTTGAAATATACATAGCTGTTCCTGCACCACACCCACAGCCTGAAAAATTATTTATGCTTTGACGTGGCAGTGTTGGGGGAGGATGTGAGCTTTGGGAGCATGTCTCTGCATCCCTCGACAGAAGAATCTAGAAGGAATGTTGACAGACAGAAAACTTTTAAATTATAATGGATACTTCATATATCCTGTAGTCATTGTGTAATTTATTGACAGACGGTCATTTCAAACTTTATATTCTTGCATAAAATGCACATTCTGTTCTAAAAACACTGCCAACTCAGCAGAGCAAATCTGCGTTCAGTGGTCAAATCTAATACAGGACAAAACATTATCATCTTCCATTACACACTTCATGCCAATATATACAATTTTATATTTACGACTCATAGTTTAAATGAAGATGACACTAGTTTAATGGCTGATTAGCTGATTGTTTGCAGATTTCAGAAGGCTTTAGGACCTTGCAGAGGTTGAATCCTGTGGTCATTGGATCCAGAGGGAGGGCTCTCCCAGCTTCCCTATCCAAACATCCTCATTTGAATAGCCCAGCTCCAGCTTATAGAAGTTTCTTTCCTGGAGTATAAAGGCCTCTGCTTCAAACACTCTGCAGCAGCATTTGGGAAAAGAAGAGGAGAACATCTGAGAAAAGAAGAGGGACACATCCAAACAGCTTTCCAAGGTAATTAATGAGAAAAATGCTTTTATTTTACAAATATTTATGTGGAATTTTTTTTTTTTGCATGCTAAAAAGGCTACTGCACACAGGGTCAGAGAATACTCTTTTTTTACTCTTCTTTCTGCTTTTTCAGTCCATTTAGCATTTTTAAAAGTGCATTTACAGCAGGCAACTTCATCCCAAATCAACTATAAGGTTGTTAATAAGTTTGCTTTTTTTCCCAAAGAAGTAAGGAAAAAACTAATTTCTTTACTTTTGAATCTTATGCAAAACTAGTCAAAAACAAATGCAAAATAAAAAATGCTAAAACACCAACAGGTTTACATGCATTACACAGTCATTGGCTGTTCAATGGTAATAGTTTTTTATCAATTTAGATTCTTTTCAGTGATGCATATTTTTCCAGATTTGTGTAATTTTTTGCCATTCATTTTTACCCTAAATTTACAAGAGAGTGATAAGATCTTTCCATTTGAGAGTGTTTTTTTATGCTATCACTCAATCAATGCTACCTTTGGAATTCAGATGCAGGTCTACTGTGGAAGTTCTGATTGGTCGAAGTTTCCACCTAAGATCTTCTAGCCAATAAGAAGAGTCTGCATGTCTTTCTTTCTCTGTGTGCATGAAGTAACAGCAGCCTTCTGCTAATTAAACATTTGCTTAATTAAGAGAAGCAAGGAGTTCAAGGAGTTTTTTTCCCCCACATTAACCAATGTGCATAACGATACTTTTGTGTAGATTACCCAAATGCACCTCTTGTCTTTCAGAGTGAAAATCACAATCGTTGACAACTATGAATATGAAAACGTATCAAGGTATCCAAGATGATAAAAAAGCAACATACAAAAAAGAAACAGAAAAAAGACAAAAATAATATGTGAATGAACAACCATGCTGACTTACATAAGCTGCTGTCTTGAGGTTGTTCGTGGAAACATAACATAACATTATTTTATTTTATAAATATTTATTTTAAAGTGATTTGGCACATTTCAGAACGGTATAAAATGAGCAGACTCACGTTAAGCGGCACATTCCTGTCTGATTAGTCATTACCGTTGCTTTTGTTTAACTGGTTTGACCTAGAAAACATGGCCTACAGGCTTTATTTCTGTAGGTTTAACTATTTAGGGTGCATACAGTTCAAAAACTTCAAAATAAAAAAAAACAAAAGTATTTAAAACTGATATAATGATCAAACAATTCACTATGCAGCCTTTTGCTCCTATAACAGACACAAAGAAATATTTAAATTTGCATCAGTGAAAAATTGTTCAATTTGCACTCAGTATCACTTGCTGCCTCTTTTCTCTTCTAGGCTTTCATTACTACCCAAAAATAAAGCAAGCATGTTGGTATCCAACCTCATTGCTCTGTGCCTTTTGGCTGTGGCCGTGTCCGGTCAGGACAAAAAGATGAGTCCCCATGCAACCTCCATGGCAGACACCAGCGCTAACCTGGCCTTCAATCTCTACCACAATATCGCCAAAGAAAAGGATCTTGACAACATCCTCATCTCTCCTGTGGTGGTGGCCTCCTCTCTGGGCATGGTCGCCATGGGGGGAAAATCCTCCACTGCGTCCCAGGTGAAGAGTCTCCTGAAGGCTGACGCCCTGAGGGATGACCACCTGCACACAGGCCTGTCCGAGCTTCTGAATGAGGTGAGCGACCCCCAGGCCCGCAACGTCACGTGGAAGATCAGCAACAGGCTGTACGGCCCAAGCTCTGTCAGCTTTTCCGACGACTTTGTCAAGAACAGCAAGAAGCACTACAACTACGAACACTCGAAGATCAACTTCCGTGATAAGAGAAGCGCCATTAACTCCATCAATGAGTGGGCTGCCAAGTCAACTGATGGAAAGCTGCCAGAAATTACCAAGGATGTGAAAAACACAGATGGGGCTATGATCGTCAACGCTATGCTCTTTAAACGTAAGTATTTCTGTTGGCTTTTTAAAATTTAAGATGTCATATATAAAATGACATTAAATTATTAAATTATATTTATTAATTAATCCGGGATGAACCCCCAATTAATATGTACTTTAGTAGTTAATACGTTAATAGTTTAATTTACTTTAATAAAGTCTATATAAATCATATTTATTTATTTATTATTAAATTATACTCAATTGTTGATGCCACCAATTGTTGTCCTGTTTTTTTTTGTTTTTTTTGTTTTTTTTGTTTTTTAGTTGGAATAGATATTTACCTTAATAGTTCCAGGAATGTCTAAATCATATTTAATTATTATTTATTAAATTATATTTAATTATTGACCTTGACAGGCCCTATTTGTTATGTCATGACTTTTTTTAATTAATTTTTTTGTTAGGATGGATATTTACTTTGATATTATACTTAATTACTAATTATTAAATCATATGTAATAATTGATTCGGAACTAGCCCCATTTGTTATGTCCTGGCTTTTCCCATATTTTTAAGTTAGCATTGATATTTACTTTAATAACAAATAATAGTTAAACATTTTAAATTAAATAATTACAATTTTATTTTATTATTAATTTATATTTTTTATTATTTATCCTGAACAAACACAATAATGACTAGAAAGATCAATCTCATTATTAATCATTTTAATGACTTATTCCTGCTCCACAGCCCACTGGGATGAGAAGTTCCACCACAAGATGGTTGACAACCGTGGTTTCCTGGTTTCCCGCTCTCACACAATCTCTGTTCCAATGATGCATCGCACAGGTAAAACCAACAGCTTGCTTCGAAATCTCTTACTCAAAATCTACTGCAACTACAAGTGAACTTAACAGTATTTAACTTTGCCCGTTACAGGTATCTACGGCTTCTATGAAGACACACAGAACAAGCTGTTTGTGTTCAGCATGCCTTTGGCACATAAGAAGTCCAGCATGATTTTCATCATGCCCTACCACGTGGAGCCACTGGACAGGCTGGAGAAACTGCTCACTCGCCAGCAGCTGGACACCTGGGTCAGCAAGCTCGAGGAGATAGCGGTCGCCATCTCTCTACCTAAAGTTAGCATGGAAGTCAGCCACGACCTTCAGGTAAATATGGCTGATTTTTGCTATATAGTTGCTATATAACCACAACCAATATTTTCTGTATGATATATGAGGCTCTTTTCTCTTGCTTTGCAGAAACATCTTGCAGAACTTGGTCTCACTGAAGCTGTGGACAAGTCTAAGGCAGACCTGTCCAACATTTCTGGCAAGAAAGATCTTTACCTCGCCAATGTCTTCCATGCCTCTGCCTTGGAGTGGGACACAGAGGGAAGCCCATTTGACACCAGCATTTATGGTAGCGAGAAGATCAGGAACCCGAAGCTCTTCTACGCTGACCATCCCTTCATTTTCCTTGTGAAAGACAACAAGACCAACTCCATTCTTTTTATGGGCAGGCTAGTTCAGCCTAAGGGTGATAAAATGAGAGATGAATTGTAACTTTCAGGCTATTTTAATTTTATGATGTTTTAAAAAGGTATTATTGTTATTAATGGTGTGACTGTTACCTCGAGTGGCCATTCCAATGGATTATCTGTGTATGGGCAATCACAGTGAACCTGTCAGTACAAAAACATATTTTTAAGGAGACTATTTGTAAACATCAGGAGCAATGCAATCCTATAGGTGTGGAATTAGAGCCCTACAAATGTAACCAGAGGTTTGACATCAATTAGTACATGTGTATTATTCAATCAGACACTATGCTTATATTCAGCATAGTGTCGTTGATGTTAAGCTGTGGTATTTATTATTGTGCTTGTAGAGCCTCTCTTTATGAGTATGTGACATCTGCGTAGGGTTTGCCTTATCTTTAATGTTTAAAGAGAAAAGGTCCTTTTCAAGTGTTTCTCAAGCACAGTTGGTAGGTTCTATGATTTCACTTCCATCCAACAAAAAACTCTCCAGCACTGATGCCTGTCTCCAGTTTGTTAGATGTTATTTTTCAGCATGTCTTTACCATATAGAATCTTTTGAGAAAGTGTGCTGATTTTTTTCCTTCATATCATTCTGCTGTTTTTCCCAATAAACTGAAATTTAAAATATTGTCCTAGTATTTTTTTATGTTTAACGTAATAATAAATGAATAAATCCATAAAATAAATTAAAACATTAAATAAATCCATAAAATCTAAAATAATACATAAAATGAGTACATAAATAAAATCTAAAATTAAATAAAAGTCACACTATCCTGAATGACTGACAATAACTAATAATGACCAGTGTTGCTGTTTGCTTTATTACTTTTAAAAGTAATGCATTACAATATTGCGTTACTCCATAAAAAAGTAACTAATTACGTTATTTAAAAATTATAAAAATTACTTTTTATGGAAAGTAATGCGTTACGTTACTTTTGCGTTACTTTTTAAATCTGGACAGGGCTTGCTTGTTTGTTTTTAAAATAAAAAAGTTCTATTTTTGGCAAATATAAAAGCCTTTTCACACCAAAAGTGAAATGAATAAGCCTCAGGCTGAAGGGAAAGTAAATTTACGTCCGTACAGTAGAATGCAGAAGAAGAAATTTCAACACTTCAGCAATAAAAAAAGACACACAAATGTTTGTCTAGAGTAATTTGTGCTTATTAGTACGGTTGAACTGGATCATCGAAGGTCAGAAGCAAAGACATTGGTTAATAGAATGGGATTAAATACATAAAGGATATTTGTGTTGTTTAACATTTAATTATTGCAGGTTTGCGTCATATTCTGAGTTGCATTTTTTTAATTCAAAAAAATTTTTTTTAAAGAGTGAGATGAATTAATGCATATTCATATTTATTTTAGAACTACAGTAACATCTTCTGATTTCTCTCAACATGGGGACAGGAGAGCTGTCAATCAATAAATTGGAAAAAAAAGTAACTTGCGTTACTTATTTGAAAAAGTAACTCAGATATTCTCTTGTAAATTAAAAAGTAATGCGTTACTTTACTAGTTACTTGAAAAAAGTAATCTTATTACGTAACTCGCGTTACTTGTAATGCGTTACCCCCAACACTGATAATGACAGATAAAAGCACAGCACAGTCTACTGCTCTGTCAATCCTAACAGTTTAATCCCAGTCATTCCGCCTGGTTTGTTTTGTCAACCCTCCGTGGACTGGAATGTGGAGCTTTAGCTGTGTGTTTATTCCACTGAGGGCTTAAAGTGTTGTCTCACCTCCTCACCTGTTAATTCACACAGTTCTCCCAGACACCCTGCTGTCTTTATGGCACCATAAACCCCTAAACCACAAAGAGGAAATAGAAAATAGCTATTTCCTTTGACACTAGCAGATCCATCCTGTAGGCTGAATGAGCCAATGAGTGGACGCATACAACAGAGGGATTAGAGGCTGGAGTCAAGGGCTCGCATGGTGAGATGGACAATCAGGAGAGGCTAAGAAAATCGTCAAAGAGGAGTTTGTCAAGATAAATAACCAACGTGTAGGCCTAAACCTTGCCAGGATAACCCAGCCGACTTTATGTAATGAGCATAATATTCATAAAATGAAAGCAACTGGTTTAAGTACTGTACGGTTTCCTTGCTTTAGGTTGGTCCACAGAACAAAACCTTTATAACAGGGCCATCTTGTGGTAAGCAACAAAACTGCAGAAAAGACTTCCGGTTCTCAAACATTTTACATTTGTTAAACGAGAAATTATTGAGAATAATGAACTAACCACACACACAGGCCTTTGTCTCAACACCTTTTTACTTATATGCCTATTTACTATATAATAAAATTATATAGATAAAATGATTAAATAAAAAAAAAGATATAGGCCTAAAATCTAAATGATTAGATATAATAAAATGAGCTCTCACCGCTTAAAGCTAACAAGTTGCTAATTAGTGTTATCAATTCTAAAGCTCAAATATTATAAAGTTGTAGTCCTTACTTAATATGTTAGCAACACACATACCTTAGCTTATTCATGTATCGGAAAAAAAAAATCGCCATTCTAAAAACCCATAGGAAATTCTTGAGGGGAAATTGAACGCTCCACCGAAGTGTTCATCATAGAAACAAGAACGATAAATTGGTGCTTGCCTTGATATGCTGATATGAGTGAAATCGGTAGCCTAAGTTAAACAAATTTTCTAGCTGCTGCTTTTCTTGTGTCACACAGTTAAGAACCCGTGAATCAGGTGACTCATCTGTTTTGAAATTATGGAAATTATTGTTTACTGAGATTATTGTTTAGCTTTCATTATAGCCTATATAATACAAGAAGAAACAAAAAATGGCAAAAGAATGACTTGTTCAGCTAAGCATGTTATTGTCTGTACAGCATCAGAACAACATTGTCTTTTGCCAGCATGAAATTGAACGTTTAAAGTCTCCTACTACTGCTATCTTTATCCATACAATTGCTCATGAAATGTAACAATTATAGTATATAATATTGTACAGTATTTATATACATGTTTAACAGACAATTTAAAAATGCTAGGAGTGCAAAACCGAACTATTACAGAGAGGCCTTTTGAGATCTGTCTGGCCTTGACATTGACTCCCAGAAAATGAGATCAGTCTGAAAAATTATAATTAAAAATGCCACTCAGGCTTTGCCTGATAGGTTTGATTAACAGAAAATGCAAGTTATCATAAACAGCTTATGTAAGGCAGTCAATCCCTCTCAGACAAACCCAGCCTACATGTTTAATACAACTTAAACTGCACAGCATCTTAAACATTTCATTATATCCAGTACAAGCACATGTGCTTCATCGGAGAGAGACAGGACCCTTTATTAAACTGATTAGTCTGATTTTAGATGTAATTTAAAAGCAGTATCAGTTTTGGTACAAAGGTACAACTAATAAATATTCTGCGTAGTATAAATAAATATTTTTGCGTAAATGAACAGAATTCAAAGAGTTATTGCATTCCATTTTGTAATTTCTTTTAAGCAACTTCTTACTCAGCATCAACACAGTCATATTTCACGATTTCATGAGTCCAGAGTTGGTAATCACCAACCTCGATCAATTTGGCTTTTGTATAAACAATGCTAGAATATCCCATCTGGCCATTGCAGCAGATGTCCACTAAGCCTCGCCAAATCTGATTATGTCACTACATTGTTTTTTGGTTAGAGAAGATCAAAGAAAATCAATTAAAGCTCCAACATGAGTTACAAATATCTGAGAATGCAAAATGCGAAACCCCAAAAAAAAAAAAACGTACCATACATACTGAGCCACTCTGTGGCCAAAACAGAGTAAGTGTGACAGTGTTAGACTGGGAAAGAAATGCACTTTCACTGACTACTTGTTCCTCAGCTGCCATTTCATTAGCGCTGTTGTTTCTGCTGCGCTGGGCAGAGTCGGATTAGACAGACGACAACCAATCCTATTAAAGTAGTCTTTGTAAGCTGCAGTGAAACACACATGCTTGTGTTGTCCTTTGTTTCTCTCCCATGCAACTTGTCATGTATCTTTCCTTCTTTGTCCGTTTTAGCATCCTTCCTTGTGCTTCTCAGATTTTGGGCTTGTCCACTTGTCTGTTGGCCTTGCGAAATAATGACTTGATCTCCTCCATCACCATGTCTTGCCAGTTATCTCTAAAAGATGAGAAGTGATTTAGAAAGCTATCAGTGATGATGACAGACAGAATTGTAGATCATTTTTGGACTTTGGCAAGAGATGCATTTCATAAAAACTGCAGAAATACACAACATGCACAAATAAGTGGATAAGCAAGAAGTCCAACACCACAATGAACAGCATCACGGCACAAACCCACCAGAAATCACCCTAACCACATGACAAATACAGCACAGCATGCAAGGTACTACCTCCTTGCAAATGGCTATGGGTTCATGCCTTTTTCTCAGCTTTCCTTCTCCTGTAAGCCTCAATGTCCTCAGGTCTCAAACCATGATTGTCTTCCCTGATGCATACATCCAATTATCCAATAGTATCCCATTCATAAGTACAACGAGAATTAATCTAAACCACAAAATGAATCTAAAAGTGCAATTTATTTGGAAAGTGGTGCAGTAAAAATACAATTTATAGCCAGTAAAATAATGTGGAATATAATGAAAAGGCCACACTTATTTGTATAACATGCTAAGTTTATTTCAAATACTGTCAAAAAAAATAAATATTTTTTTTAAATAAATAAATATAATTATTAAAATCTTACCCTGGTTTGATCTCTGGTGGTTTTGGCAAAGGCTTAGTAAAATTAGATTTCCCAACAAGCCAGTATGTTTCCTCAATGCCTTTCCCCTAAAAAATACATTAAAAAATTTTAAAAATAAAAACAGTAACAACAATAAAAATAAAAGGTAAGTCAGTGCATAAACTACTGTTCAAAAGTTGGTAAGTTTTTTTAATGTTCTTGAAAATAGTCTCTTATGCTCTCCAAGGCTGCATTTATTTAATCAAAAATACAATAAAAACAGTACTACTGTGAAATATTGTTACAATTAAAATAACTGTTTTCTATATAAATATATATTGAGTTTTCAGCTCAAGTCTTTAGTGTCACATGATCCTTCAGAAATCATTCTA